CAGGGCTTCAGAGCATGGGAGAGGCTGCAGGTGTGTGGGGGGTGGAAAGCTGAAGAGTGAGGGGGAAATAAAGGTAGGTTGATGATTGGCTGGGAAGGAGATAGGGTTGCCAACTCCAGGTGGGAAATTCCTGGAGATGTGAGGGATGGAGCCTGGAGAGGGTGAGGTTTCAGGAGGCGTGGGACCTCAGACAGGTACAAAGCCATAGATTCCACCCTCCAAACCAACCATTCCCTTCTGGGGAACCATCATTGCCAATCTCCAGGTGAGGGCTGGAGATCTCTCAAAATTACAACTGTTCTTTAGGTAGCAGAGATCAGTTCGTCTGGAGAAAATGGTGGACTCAGTGTCATTATACCCTGCTGAGGTCGCCACAGCACATTGACACTGAGTGTCCAAGGCCGGGGCACCCGCCCAGAGCCTCTTTCTAGAGGCCGTTGTATTTATTTCCATAATGGGTCTTTTTCCTAGTATATATATGTTTTAGAAATGATTTGGAAAATATTTGAACACCTTGTCTTAAAATATTTTATTCATCATGTTAAAATAAAACGTTCCATAATCATTTTTTTTTCCTTTTCTTTTCTTTTTTCAATTTTTCCAATTTTTTGAAAAAAAACAAAAAAGGCTTCAGGGAAAAAACGGGGAAAAACGGGTTTCCCCTGAATTTTTCCGGTTTTTTTCTGGGCCTTCACATCTCTAGTGCAGACCCAATTATTATTACTTTGACATAAATTCTCAAATGTAACGCATCTCACTACTTGATGAAAGAAAGGAAAGGGAAGACACTGGCCACTGTGGCATCAGTCAGAACTGTGGGGGCCAAGTTGCTCTTGAAAGGCCCATTAATGAAATCCAGTAAGTGCACAACTTGAATTAAGAGTGGCAATTATGAGTAAACTAACCACACTAACTGATTTCTTCCAAGATCAGTTCCTACTATGATGTTTAAATACACTGGAACAGCCATTGATAGGCAGAAAGAGTTGGGAGAGTAGAACTTCTTGAGGATGTCTATTGAATCCAAGGTGATTTCTGCTGACTGACCAGAAAAAGTTTCAAGAACAGCCCTTTTAACTTTTCTATTTGAATATTCTTGTGATCAATACATGAATGGGAAATATTAAATCAGAAATAACCCGAGCAGTATCAACAAACAAGAAATAAACAATGTCACCTTATGCGCTGAAAGAACAATACTGATGAAATGGCAGAGAAAACTAAATTGGCAGTTTCCACAGATTCCCTCTTCCCCTTGCAGAACCCCCAACCCCTCATGTCATCCTTCAGGTCCCCTATCCCCCAAGAACAGCATTTCACAGAGATCACTGGGCTGTAATGAACAGACAGGAAGGAAAGTTCCATTCTGCCACTAGAAAATTTAGTCTGGATCGAAACCAGTATATTTATCTAACACTAACTTTTTTTAACCTTTGCTGGACAAGCAGTATTTATAATAATATATTCAAAAGCGGTATAAAGAAACAAAAATGACCACCTGTAAGAAGTCAATGGTATGTTAAATTCACTCTCTGGTAAAGCAGTTCCCAAACATTTTCCGTCTTCATATATATTAAAGGGAATTGAAAAATGATTCTTTATCTGTATAGAGAAAATCAAAAGGTCCATATAAACAACAAAGCCTTCAATACCTGAATTATTTCATTCATACCAAAAACAGGCAGAACAAGCATACGAAAACATGGACACACTTGACTGTAATTGATATTCATTGAGAGTTCTTCTGTGCAGACACACATGAGAACTGCACATGCTCAGGCTTGCAGCAGATGTTCCGAAAGCTCCTGACAGTGTGAGATGCTTTCTCACCATTCAGCATGGTTCCTACCAACAGCTCTTACAAAAAGGGGGTGAGAGTAGCTGCTTCAGTTTTCTGAGGTTGCCACTGGAGATAAGGGTCCAAAATGAGAATCTTTGAAGCTCACAGCAGGGATGGAGAGAGAGATGTGTGCCTGCATGTAAGGACACTTGATGAATATTAAGTTACAGGTTAAGTGTAACCATGTTTTGTCATTGTGTCTTCTATGCAGTCCCACATGAGAGAGTGTAGAGCTAGCTGACCAAGGAAGGTTGGCATGAAGCTCTCAATAAAATAGGCTATGGAGGATCACTTTACCTACAGTGGTAGAACATCTGTTGGGCATGCAGAAGGTCTCAGATTCAATCCCCAGCATCTGTAGTTGAAAGGACCAGGTGATGGAAAAGTCCTCTGCCTGAAACCATGGAGAGCCACTGCCGGTCTGAGTAGACAATACTGACTTTCATGGATTGAGGGTCTAATTCAGTAGAAGGCAGCTTCATGTGTTAATCTGGAGTCCACATCAATGGCATAGTATTTAATGAACACAGATGGTGTAGACCAGGTGACTGCCCTGCAGGTGTCCAGCAGAAAGGATCCACTACAGAAGGCAGAAAATGAGGCTTGGGCCCTAGCTAAATGGGCTGGGGTCTCCAGTTAGACATTAGGCTCCTCATGAGGAACACAATCCAATGAGTTATTGCCTGGACAGAAATTCTATGACCTTTCTTGGCCCCACCAAAAGCTATAAAGAGATTTTTATTTTTCCTTAATAGCTCTTTCTGTACAAACAGAAGGACAGAGCATGTTTTACACTTAGTGAATGTAAGGCTCTTCCCATGTGATCTTTGAGTGATGGAAGGAAGACTGGCAGCACTATGTCCTAATTTAGGTGAAACGCCCTTAGGTAGGAAGGGAAGTCTTAGTTGTAGGAAAACCTTTTCCTTGTGCAATTTATGGAAGGGAGGGTCCACCCTGTCTTCCTGCATCTCACTACTTTCTTCAGTTTAAGCCTAAATTTTGCAATGTGTAGCTCATGATCTGAGTCACAGTCAGCTCCAGGTTTTGTTTTACTGACTGGATAGAGCTTCTCCATCTTTGACTGCAAATGATATAATCAGTCTGATTTCAGTGTCGCCCATCTGGTGATCTCCATGAGTAGAGTTACTCCTCAGGTTGTTGGAAGAGGGTATTCGCTATGGCCAATGTGTTCTCTTGATTACGTAAACTCTGTTAGCCTTTGCCCAGCTTCATTTTGTTCTCCATGGCCAAACTTGTCTGTTATTACAGTTACCTTTTGACTTCCTACTTTAGCATTCCAGCCCCCTATGATGATAAGGACATCTTTTTTTGGTGTTAGTTCTAGGAGGTCTTCATAGAACCGGTCCACTTCAGCCTCTTTTGCATCAGTGGTTGGGGCACAGACTTGGATTAGAAGAAGAAGATATTGGATTTATACCCTGCCCTTCACTCGGAGTCTCAGAGCAGTTTACAAACTCCTTTCCCTTCCCCTCCCCACAACAGGCACCCTGTGAGGTAGGTGGGGCTGAGAGAGCTCTGAAAGAAACAGCTCTTTTCAAGAACACCTCTGACAGAACTATGGCTTGCCCAAGGTTATCCAGCAGCTGCAAGTGGAGGAGTGGGGAATCAAAACCGGTTCTCCCAGATTCGAGTCTGCGCACTTTACCACTACACCAAACTGTGATGTTGAATGGTTTGCCTTGGATTTGGTCCGAGATCATTCTGTTGTTTTTGAGATTGTATCCCATTACTGCCTTTTTCACTCTGTTGGGATTCTTGGCCACAGTAGTAGATATAATGGTCTTCTGAGTTAAATTCGCCCATTCCTGTCCACTGATTCCCAAGATGTCGATGTTCAGTCTTCCCATCTCATTTTTGACCACATCCAACTTACCTTGATTCATAGATTTTATATTCCAGGTTCCTATACAGTATTGTTCTCTGCGGCATTGGACTTTCCTTTCACCATCAGACACATCCACAGCTGAGAGTCCTTTCAGCTTTGGCCCAGCTACTTCATTCTTTCTGGGGTTACTTGTACTTGCCTCTGCTCTTCCCCAATAGCATATTGGCCACCTTCTGACCTGAGGGGCTCATCTCCCGGCATAATATCTTTTAGCCTTTTGGGGTTTAGTCCATGGGGTTTTCTTGGCAAACATACTGGAGTGGGTTGCCATTTCCTTCTCCAGAAACAGCTTGACCCACCCATTATTTCTCCTGCTAGATCTATTAGCATTTGTATGAAAGTGAACTGAGGTATGTTTTGGGAAGCAATTGCACTGACATCCTCCACCCCTGCCTGTTCTCTGCCCAGAGGGGAAAAAAACCTTTTAAAATGCAAAGTGGAGGTTTAGCTCAGTTCAAACCTCCCAGTAAAAATGCATTTCTTCACAATATCTGCTAGAGAAGCCTTCCTTGTTACATCATCGTCTTCAGTAAAGCTGATGCTAATTATGCTTACATCTTCTGCACAAGTACAATAACATTCCTCAAAGAAACAAAGCCGTAAGGCAACTGACCAGAAAAAAATAATTTTAGGAAAATATATTACCTGAATAGGTGAGTGTACTGTTATTGTCTTACTTCCTTCAATGGTATCAATTTGACAAACAATAGATCTTACAACACCCGAGTCATTATGTCTTACTCTATAAAGACTTCGTCCCACTTTTGTCAGAGGAATCTTATCGGTGATGGAGTGATTTTCAGGTGCTAAAATTTGAAGAAAATACACTGAATTACAGGGAAAAAGGTATAAAGGATAGCGACATATTAAATTGATGGTTCCAGAATTTTAAAAAATTACTTTTTATGTGTGCTTAGAACTAAACCCATACTATAGCTAAACCAATGTCAATATTTTGACATACTGTCTTCATGAGTATGCTGCATCGCTATTCAATTTTTACAAACTCATCAAGAGGAATGTACTTCCTTTCAGCACTGGAGAGACGAGTGCACCTTATTCAAACAGCAAAATTACAAAAAAAGAATCAAATGATACGTGTAAAAATGAGGAACTGTTGTAGGGAACTAGCAACTTGCATTTATTTGTTACTTTTTAAAGGGCTACAGACAATGCTTCCTCTAAACTGTGGAGTCTTGTGAGCAAAAATTCAACTTTGTGAGCAAACAATTTGGCTACTGCATAAATCACTTTGCTTTGGAGCCATCCTTCCTGAGCTAAGACAAAAATATGTGAGCCTAAGAGGCTAAGAATCATTGAGCTACCTCACACTAACTCAGCTTAGAGGGAACACTGACTACAGGAATCAGTTGGGATCCAAGTCTTATGAGGAAAGGCTGAAAGAGTTGGGTATGTTTAGACTGGGAAAGAGAAGGCTTAGAGGGGACATGATTGCAGTCTTCAAGTATTTGAAGGGCTGTCATGTAGAAGATGGAGCAAATCTATTCTCTCTTGCTCTGGATTACAAGACTAGATCTAATGGGTGAAAATTACAAGGGAGTCGTTACCAGCTAAATACCAGGAGAAACTTCCTAACTGTAAGAGTGGTTGAGCAGTGGAACAGACTGCCTCAGGAGGTGGTGGATGCTCCTTCGCTGGACGTTTTCAAGCGGAGGCTGGAGGACCATCTTTCGGTTATGTTGTAGGGCTCGAGGTCAGTGATCACACCGTCGTGGTTGTCAAGGAAATTAAGCTATACTACAATAACATTTTAACTCTACTGCCATGATGTAGTAGTTCCTCCAAATCCTGTTTCATTTTCCAAAAAAAACCATGATCGTAGACATTTTTGTTGTAGAATTATAAGAGGAAAGGCTACTATGGCTAAGGAAAAAATATGTTTACAAAGAAACAATTGAAGCCTACTTACTAAGCCAGATGTAGAATAATTTGCTGCTCAGGGTAGTCATAGCTGTGAACTGGTCATTTTCATTCTTAGTTTTGATATATTCCATGCTTAGGCTTTGCCCGTTGTCAAGATGAAACGATTTTGTCCTTGATTCCGCATTCAGGACACTGAAGGAATCACTAGGCAATACAACAACAGACACACCTAAGGAATTTATCAACACAAAGGGTGCCTTATCTTTCTTAAAGATTTCTGAAGTTTGTGTAGCTGCTTCAGCAAGTGCCTAAAAAAAAGTATAAAATCATGGATTAACAACTGGCAATTGATTATGTCCTAAATGAAAACATGGGACTTAAATATAATTTAAAGACCCAAACTAAACTCTTATGGTATTTCCTACCGTGCCAAGGTTACTCAACATCAGCAGTCCACATTTAGATAATGTAATGTTCAGCTGATCTTCAGAGTAAATATTTATCACTGTTTTGTACTCTGGCACTTTGTAGTGTTCTTCTTCAGCAACTGATTCAGCCAGAGATTTTTTGTTCTTCTTTTTCATCTTTAAAAGGGGAGGGTGATGGAGTAACAAGGGAGAAGGATTAATTACCACCAAAAGTACAAAGTTGTTGGAACAGATATTTACAATATCTGGCTACACTATGTTCAAAATACTTGGAATGTCAGCAGTACTTTTCAAAAAGCATTTTGAAGTATCAACCAAAAACAGTAAAAAGGATGGTCTCATAACGAATAAAATACTTAACAGAGAGCAGAGTTTGGCTCATAATAGCTGTCACTAATGCATTATATTCAAGAACATCATTATGATGGATGAAATATGTACTTGGTGCCTGGATGCAATTTTGTGATTGACAAAGACCAGTGCACTGAAACTTAATCTAGACAAGATGGAGGTGCTATGGGTAATGAAAGGACTTTCTCTTCTGGATGATGTTGCCTTCCTCCTAAAGGAGCAGGTCCATAGCCTGGGAGTGCTGCTGGATCCAGGCCTACTACTGGATAAGCAGATGGCAGGAGTGGCCAAGAATAGCTTCTAACACCATTGGCTGATGAGCCAGCTATAGCCTTTCCTGAGTAAAAAAAATCTTGCCACTATGAAGCATGTTCTGGTAACATCTAGATTAAGTAAAAGGTAGAGGTAAAGAGCCCTTGCTCGAAAGCAAGTTGAATCCGACTCTAGAGGGCGGTGTTCATCTCCATTTCCAAGCTGAAGAACCAGCACTGACCGAAGACTTTTCCATGGTCACGTGGCAAACGTGACTAAACACTGAGGCGCAAGGAACGCTGTTGCCTTCCCACCGAAGGGTACCTATTTATCCACTTGCAATTTCTTGCTTTCGAACTGCTAGGTTGGCCGGAGCTGGGGCAGGTGGCACTAGGGCCTCCACTTACACCTGCTGATGTGACTTTGGGTCAGTCACAAGCTCTGGCACAGCTGTTCCTGAAAGAGCAGTTTGTGTCAGAGTTCTCTCAGCCCCACCCACCTCACAGGGTGTCTGTTGTGGGACGGGGAAGGGAAAGGAGTTTGTAAGCCGCTCTGAGACTCCAAGTGAAGGACGGGGTATAAATCCAATCTCTTCTTCTCTTCTTCTTCTTGAACTGCCGAGCTACAGACCTTCCAGTCAGCAGCTCAGCATCTTAACCTCTGAGCCACTGTGGCCCTAACATGTAGATTAAATTACTGCAATACACTGAACTGCCATCAATTGTTACAGCAACTGCTATCAATTCTTGCTACAGCAAGAATTCTGGCTGAAGGGGGTCAGAGGCAATGCTCCCTCTAAGCTGTGGAGTCTTGTGAGCAAAAATTCTACTTTGTGAGCTACTGGCATTAAAGTTGTGAGCAAGGGGTTTGGCTACTGTATAAATTAGCTTGCTCTGGAGCCATCCTTCCTGAGCTAAGACAAAAATGTGTGAGCCAGAGGCTAAAAAACTGTGAGCTAGCTCACACTAACTCAGCTTAGAGGAAACACTGGTCGGAGGGACCACTTTACTCTGGTCTTATTCTATAAGCACTGGTTTCCAATTTACTTCTCCAATTCAAGGTGCTGGCATTGACCTCGAAAGCCCTATATGGTTTAGGAACACTATAGCTTAAAGACTGCCTACTCCCATATGAAACTACCCAACCATTAGAGCCATCTTCAGAGGCCCTCATTTGGGTGCTCCCTTCATCTGAGTCTAGACAAGTGGCAACCCATAGAAACACCTTATTGGTCATGGCACCAAAACTGTGGTATTTCCTCCCCTGGGAGATGCATTCCCCCCATATCAGTGTTTTCTGAAAGCAGAAGACTTTTTTGTTTTGTATGGTGTTCCCTTATTAACCCTCCTTCCTGTTTGTTTTAAATATATTTATTGCTCTTAAAGTTGATTTTGTCTGGGCAAAAAAGCAAAATACAAGTGTTTTAAAAAATATTTAAATAAAATGCATGAAGATATCACAAGGACTCCTGCTTGGTGCAATATGAAGAAAATGTTGCCGTCTGCATCTGCCCTCCAGATGTACTTCTGGAATACAGGGCAGGTTTTGCCTTCAGTACAGCATTTCCAAGTACAACTTTATTTTACGTGACTGTTATGCCCCATCAAGTCACTTCCAATTTATTAATAACCTCCAAAATGTCCTATCAAGCTCAGGTCTTGCAAACTGACTCCCTTTATTGAAGCAATGCATCTTTTCCATCATCTTTTCCAGTTGCCTCCAACTTTTCCAAAATTTATTGTCTTTGTCACTGAATCTTATCTTCTCATGATGTGACCAAAGCATGAAAACCTCAGTTCAGTCATTTCATCTTCAAGTGAGAATTCAAGCTTGATTTGATCTATAACACACTTATTTAGCTTTTTACAGTTCACTGTAACTGTAAAACTCTCCTCCAACACCACAGTTCAAGAGTCCATTTTCCTGCCAGCTTTTTCATTGTACAACTTTCATGTCCATACATAGTAATGGGGAATACCACTGTATGAAGCCTGCTCTGCAGGGAGGGAGGGGTACAAATCTGACAATAAATAAATAAATGTTGATCTCTGTATCTGACAACACTTCCTTACACTTAAGGATCTTTTCTAATTCCTTCATGATTGCCCTTCCAAGTTTCAGTCTCCTTCTTGGTTGCAGTCTCCCTTTTGGATGATGGTGGAGCCAAGGAATAGAAAATATTGAACAATTTCAGTATCTTCATTGTCAGCCTTAAAGTTGTGTAATTCTTCAGTGGTCGTTACTTCTTGTCTTCTTGATATTCAGCTGTAATCTTGTTTTGGCACTTTCTCCTTTAATTTCCATCAGGAGTCTTTTCAAGTCTTCAGTATTTTCTGCCTGTAATGTAGTATCATCTGTGTATATCAAATAGTTACTGTTCCTTTCACCAACTTTCATTCCACCTTCATCTAAACGTAATCCAGTTCTCCTGCTGGTAAATTCTGCATACAGACTGAACAGTTAGGGAGATAAAATACACCCTTGTTTGATAACCTTTGTCAATTGGAAACCATTGTGTTTCTACGTAGTGTTTCCTAACAGAAGCCTCTTGTATACAATAGAGGTTGCACGTCAAAACAATCAGATGTTGTGGCACATCTATTTCTTTTAAAACCATCCATAGATTTTCATGTTCCACACAATCAAAAGCTTTGCTGTAATCTATCAAAAACAAAATAATTTTCTTCTGAAATTTTCTTGTATGTTCCATTTGCAACATGATCTCTAGTACTTCTTCCTTTTCTTCCTTTCTTCAACATCTGACATTTCCCCATAAGACTAAATAGCAATTATTCACTCATACAGGAAAAGGGGTACATTCGTGGACATAACTGGGGTGTGGGCTAATTGTATCTTGGTTCCAGGCCCATCTTCTACCCTGAGCTAACTGGGTTTGAACTGAAAGATTGACACTGAAAACTTGCTGCTCCTGCCTAATGCATGTCTTCTGCCCATGGTGATTAGAAAAATACAAGTGGGGACCCACAAGAAACTTGCAGGGTGGCTAGCCCATTCCTCACACCTTTGCTTCCTCCCCTCTCCCCCTACCTCTCTCACATTCTTTCTCTTTTCTGCCCCCCTTTCTTACACATTCTCTCTCTTCCATGTATGTTACTTCCTTTCTCTTTCTGCCCCTCATCATACGTTTTCTGCCTCCTCATCCTTTTTCTCTCTTTCGGCCCCCATCACTCTCCCTGCCTGCTTCCTCCCCCAACCCCGCACAGTAGCAGCAGCAGCGGTGGCAGTGCTCCCAGCCACCCACCTGCTTCATCTCCCCCCCACAGCAGTAGTGGCAGCTCTCCAGGAACCACAACAGATGTCCCAACTACAGAGATGAAGGGCTGCCAGCTCCAGGTTGGGAAACCCCTGGAGATCTGGGGGTGGAGCCTTAGGATAGTGATACTTGTGGAGATAAGCAACCTCAGCAGTGCATAATGCCATTGACTCAACCCTCCAAAGCAGCCATTTTATCCAGGGTAACTGTCACCTGTGCAGCAGTTGTAACTCTGGGTTATCTCCAGTCCACACCTGGAGGCTGGCAATGGCAGTTCTCATGGAGGAAATGGCTGGTTTGGAGGGTGGAGTCTATGGCATTATACAGGTCTGAAATTCCTCTCCTACTCAAATCCCACTCTCCCCAGGCTCCACCCCTCAAAAGTCCAGGAATTTCCCAACCTGGAGTTGGCAACCCTATTTCCTTCCCACCCAACAGCCAATCTACCTTTATCTGCCTGTCTTCAGCTTTCCATCTCCACCCTCCTACCCCACAGCCTCTACCTAGAAAAATTATAGTCTTTCTCAACAGTGGGGAACAAAGCAGCTTACACTATTCTCTCCTCCTTTTTATCTGCACAACAACACTGTGAATTGGTTAGGCTGAAAGTATGTGATTGGTCCAAAATCACCACAAGATGGGGATCTGAACCTGGGTCTTGCGGACCCTACTTTGGAGCGCTAACTGCTGCACCACACTGGTTTTCATAGGGTGGCTGCTGTTGAACAGTAGCAAGCAGCCAGGCGTAGTTGAGTCACGCAAGTCAGGTGGTAGCAAGTCACCCTTGCTTAGGGTTGCCCAGCCTAGGATTGCCAACCTCCAGGTAGAACCTGGAGATCCCCCATAATTACAACTGAACTCTAGAAAGCAGAGATCTGTCTACCTGAAGAAAATGGCTGCTTTGGAGGCCGTGGTATTATATCTGCAGTATTATATCCAGCTGAGGCTTTTCCCTTCCCCAAACACAGCCCTCCTTTGAGTCCACCACAAAATCTCTAGAAATTTCCCAGCCAGGCACTATATCCAGCTGAGCCCTCTCCCTTCCCCAAACACAGCCCTCCTTAGACTCCACCATCTCTAGGAATTTCCCAGCCTGGCACTGGCAATTTCAGAAGAAAATTATTTTGTTTTTGATAGATTACAGCAAAGCTTTTGATTGTGTGGACCATGAAAAGGATCCCCCCTGAAAGGCCAAAATAGGCCAGGAAAGGGCCTTTCCCCCTTCCCCTGCCTTTTACTGAGAGAACCAGTTAGAACCCCCCCCAAAAAAGTTTTAAGAGGACAGTAGAGACTGCAGCAAAAGATGTAGGGGTGAAAAGTTCAGATTATTTAGCCATTCATACTGCAGGAGGAATCTTTCCCAATCCCAACTCCAGTTCTGCTTTTGCTTCCTCTCCTCTCTGTTTCTCTCCCTCTGGCTGTCAGCCAGTCTCTCTCTCATTGTCAATGTGGCAGGGCCTGGAGTAGATCCCTGCAGCAGCCATTTCAAAAGGTATGCGAGGGGGGATTTGACCCTCCCCAAGATTTTTGTTAACTTTTTGGATTTTTCTTCAGACCCACACAGTTCCCTGAGTCTGTAGAAAAACCTGTTGGGGGAAGAATGTGCTCTCTGTTTGCAGAAATAAGTATATCCGCATGCAGAGGGGACTGAGAATTAAATATATAAATCTATCAACCGAACAATGGGTATTTTCTTCCTTTATATTACTTGACTGTTTACTTCCTGCTACAATAACTGCTACATGAAGTATCTATACTTAGCACCAGATACCTCTGAAAGGCAAGATTTTAAATGTGCAGTCATAAAGAGAGGATGGACTGCTGTTTCTTCCCTGCTCACTAGTCTCAGCAAGGTTAGAGATTTGCCATAGTAAAAATGAGATCAAACTCACATCATTTGAATACTGTTTTAGGTCAGAATAAAAAATTAAAAACATATAGTGAAATCAATCAAATCAATAAAAGCCATCTGTCCTATAGTCAAGTGAAGCCATTATACCTTCATTCCTAGAACCCATGGTCTAAATTCATCAGTGTTTTCAACTTCCAGTGGTTCAAGCAAGGGTTCCCACACACCAAACATCTCATTGTAGTATTGTACCTAAAATTCAAATTATTATATTATTAATATTATATAAGTTGTACAGTCTGTGTATGAAACAAAAAAGGAGATGGTTACACAAACACGTTTGAAAACATGTGTATGCAACAAAAAGGAGATGGTTACCAAAAGAGGTCTGTCACTGTTATTATTAACTTCAAACATTATATTATTTAGCATAAAATGTAATCTGAGCATGATCTTCCTCTGAAAACTAGAAAACAGAGAAAGGGAGAGAATAGTTACAAAAGATAATCAGTGGACTTGCTATGCAAGAATTCACGTTTACTTTGGCTTCAATTCGATCCCAAAACAAGTATTCCAACCAATGCTCCCTCTAAGCTGTTTTGTGAACTACTGGCATTAAAGTTGTGAGCGAGTGATTTGTCCACTGCATAAATTAGTTTGCTCTGGAGCCATCCTGCCTGAGCTGGAGGCAAAAAACCTGTGAGCTAGCTCACACTAACTCACCTTAGAGGGAACACTGATCCCAAGCATAAACTCATTCTAAAAAGCCATTATTCCTTGCTGTGACCATGGAAGCTTTTCTCTTTAGAACATCTATATCAAACTGGGATGAACAAAATGAAGGCATTGGGTTTAGCTGACGCATTCAACATGCTATCTGAATGTTTGTCTGTTTGTAATCCTGTCCCTGGGTTGAATGCTGTAATATCGGAATGGAACCTGGTACACATGCTTATGACACTACTCGGTATTTCCAGATTGAATTCAATCATGACTTCATGGGGACAGGGGAAAATGGACAGGAGATGGCAAAATACATTATAATGTATGTATGTACATAATTCTCAAGCAACAGCCTAGCTTTATTTTGCCAGTTTGGTGTAATGGTTAAGTGCGCGGACTCTAATCTGGGACAAATGGGTTTGATTCCCCACTCCTCCACTTGCACAGCCAAACTTGCCCGCCCCACCCCCATTGCCAAGAAGACTGGGAAAGATATAAAATATGGTTAATGTGATGCTGTAAAAGATGTAAAAGACGGTAAAAGATGATGCTGTTAGTGCTGCACTCCATTTGCCAGCAAATTTGGAAAACGCAACAGTGGACACAGGATTGGAAACGGTCAGTATACATTCCAATCACAAAGAAGGGCAATGCCAAGAAATGTTCAAACTATCACACAATTGCACTCATATCACACGCTCAAGATCCCACAAACTAGGCTTCAACAGTACGTGGATAGAGAACTGACTATGCTAAAGCCTTTGACTGTGTGGATCACAACAAACTATGGCAGGTCCTTAAAGAGATGGGAGTACCAGACCACCTCACATGTCTCTTGAGAAACCTGTATAAGGGCCAAGAAGCGACAGTTAGAACCGGATATGGAACAACTGATTGGTTCAGCATAGGAAAAGGAGTACGACAAGGATGTATATTGTCGCCTTGCTTATTTAATATATATGCAGAGTACATCATGCGAAATGCTGGCCTGGATGAATCACAAGCGGGAATTAAGATTGCTGGGGAAAAGATCAACAACCTCAGATATGCAGACGATACCACTCTGATGGCAGAAAGTGAAGAGGACCTCAAGAGCCTCTTGCTCAGGGTAAAAGAGGAGAGCGCAAAAGTGGGCTTGAAGCTCAACATCAAAAAAACTAAGATCATGGCATCCGGCCCCATCACTCCTTGGCAAATAGAAGGGGAAGTCGTGGAAGTGGTGACAGACTTCACGTTCCTGGGATCCCAGATCACCGCAGACTGTGACAGCAGTCATGAAATTAAAAGACGCCTGCTCCTTGGGAGGAAAGCGATGGCGAACCTAAACAGCATGATAAAAAGTAGAGACATCACCCTGCCAACAAAAGTCCGCATGGTCAAAGCAATGGTATTCCCAGTAGTCATGTATGGCTGTGAGAGTTGGACTATAAGGAAGGCCGAGCGCCGAAGAATAGATTCTTTTGAACTATGGTGCTGGAGGAGACTCTTGAGAGTCCCTTGGACTGCAAGAAGAACAAATCAGTCAATCCTCAAAGAAATCAACCCTGACTGTTCCCTGGAAGGCCAGATAATGAAACTGAAGCTCAAATACTTTGGCCACCAAATGAGAAGGGAGCACTCACTGGAGAAGACCCTGATGCTGGGAAAGATTGAAGGTCAAAGAAGACGGGGACGGCAAAGGATGAGATGGTTAGACAGTGTCATAGATGCAACAAACATGAAGTTGAGCAAAGTTCAGAGGACGGCGGAAGACCAGAAGGCCTGGAATGATCTAGTCCATGGGGTTGTGAAGTCGGACTCGACTGTGCGACTGAACAACAAAATGTGATGTCTCTGCTCTCTACAGAAGTATAACATTAAATTGTGTATGTACCAGTCCTGTAGACAGGATTTTGTGGCTTGTGGGGCAATTTTTTTCTGGTGAGGCTGCCATTATTTGCCATAATGAAGGGGGCTGTGGCCCCGGCCCCTCTCCCTCCCTTCCTGCAAGATTTTACACCCTTCAGCTGGTCAGCAGGGGGCATGTGGCCCACCAATCAGCTGGAGGGCCCTTTAAATCTTGCAGGAGGGAGGGAGAGGGATGTGTGCCACTACCTGCTTCTTCTCAAAAGCAGGGGGGCCTTTAAGGAAGGACGCGGAGCCCCCAACAGCCCCACAGTAGCTACAGGCCAGGTATGTATATATATAGAATGATCCTGCATTATAAGACTGAACATGTGTTTGGCCCATACTGATTTTACTAGAGTGAGAACTGGAGAGAGAAAAGGTGCTAAACATAATTTAATATGAAGTGCAGCCTACTGAAATCTGATGTCTACTATTACAAATTATTGAATAGTGGCAAATGTATACTTCACTGAAGTTGAAATGTTGAACAATACAATGCACTGTATTCTCAAGTCTGTTAGACAACAATTATGGCCAACATTTCAACAACTTCCATGTGGTGACCATAATTTATAAAGCAGCGTAAGTCTATGCTAGTAATACAACTCTACATTACTCTTACCTCTAGTTCTAGACGAGAGGCTATATGGATCAGAGTACTCCAGTTTCTGACCTCTCCAGAAAATGATGACTTTGCTAACAGCATTGGCACTGTTCTGTGGCCAACACCAGCTTCAAGAGTAATAACAACTGCATCAACTCTCATTTGCAATGTTTCTCCTGTAGGGACCAATTCAGTTACGGAAACAGGAGTTTTATTTTCATCTGACTCTTCAAGAAACCACATATTTAACTTTTTTATATCCTTCTGATCCCAAATATCTGGAGGTATAGGACTGATGTCTTTTTCTTCAGTCTCCTTAGTTGGGAAAAGTGCTGACGTAATTGTGATCACTGTATTTAAGATAATTGGAGACATCTGAAATTAAAAAGAAGAGAGGTTACTCTTAACATTTATGAATGTCTAGTGAATGCACAAATAACTACATATAAAAAAGACAAGTGGAGAGCCATTGTTGACACATGGGAGAGGGGAAATCCATTTTCCCCCTTGTTGCCCTCCATGTTGTCTCCTTGCCCCAGCTTGCCCATTTACTTCAGCTCCATCCCCTTCTTGCTGGCCTCACTTTCCCCTCCGCTTCCAGCTGTTATTTCACTCCTACCTTGCAGCCTCTGTCATCTCCAGCTTGCTTCTTTGCTCCTCTCCCCCTCTTCCTGTCTTCCTTCTTCTCTCTAACGTAGCCCCCCATCACCTCTGGGTTAGGGGCCACAGAATGCTGGGCACCACTCGAGATGCTACAACAACCTAAAATGCTGCCTGTATGTCTTTTTCTGATGGTTTCTGCATATGCACCAACATCGCTTTTTTATTCCTTTCTGCAATCTTCTGTTTTTTGTTTTTCTGCAGATTTAGGGGATCACCCAGATTGCAGAAGCATCGTATGGGCCCATTGTGTACATTTTTAGGGTCATTATGGGAATTTGATAGGTAATGGTATACAAAACATAAATTACATATTACTTCTTTGTTTTGTATATTTAAATCCAGTGAAGACAGAGGTCATGTACCTAAGCTCTGGGGGGTCTGGGATGGGGAATCTGTCTACTGGCCCTTGGTGGGGTGCTGTTGACGTCAGCAGCAAGGGTGAGGAGCCTCGAGGTGATCCTGGATGCCTTGCTCTCCATGGAGGCCCAAGTCACCACTGTTGCCAGATCAGCCTTTTACCATCTACGACTGGTCAGACAACTGGTTCCCTATGTCACCTCCCAGGATTTGGCTACAGTGATCCATGCAATGGTCACATCTAGGTTGAATTACTGTAACTCATTCTATGTGGGGCTGCCCTTGAACCTGATCCGAAAACTGCAGCTAGTGCAAAATGTGGCAGCATGCCTACTGATGCCGACATCTGCGCAGGTGCACAGTCACCTGGTGTTGCGCCTATTGCACTGTCTGCCAATTTAGTACCAGATCCAGTTCAAGATTATGGTAATGACTTTCAAAGCCCTATGATGCAAGGTACCAACATACATATGGGCAATGGTCCCTCTATGCTGTGGAGTCTTGTGATTAAAAATTCTACATTGTGAGCTACTGGCATTAAAGTTGTGAGTGAGCGATTTGGCTACTGCATAAGTTAGTTTGCTCTGGAGCCATCCTTCCTGAGCTAAGACAAAAATGTGTGAGGAGGAGGCTAAAAAACTGTGAGCTAGCTCACACTAACTCAGTTTAGAGGGAACACTGCCTACGGGACCAACTCTCGCCATATGTGCCCCAAAGTATGTTCAGCTCAGCAACACCTTCTGGTAGTCTCTGGCCCAAAAGAAGTCCGTTTAGCCTCAACAAGGGCCAGGGCCTTTTCTGCTCTGGCCCTGTCCTGGTAGAACATGCTCCCACTTGAGATCAGGGCCCTGTGGGACTCATTACACTTCCACAGGACCTGTAAAATGGAGCTGTTCCACCAAGACTTTGGCAGAGGCGGTGGATGTATGATTCATCTCTGCCTCTCCTGCTCAAATGGGTTGTGCTGATTTGCAGTGTTTATAGTGCCCACTGTGACTCGCCCACTTAGAGGCCAACAGAGCATTACCAGTAAATAGGTTGCTATTAATTACCATCTAATCTAGCATCTTCCATGTGGCACCATGAACTGTCTGAATAACTGTGATCTCATTGTGATCTGACTGATTTGGCTTCTATATATAATTTTATTGTTACTTTGTTTAAATTGTTGTTTGTTTGCTTTTAATGTTTTAATATACTATGTATTCAACTAATGCCCTGAGCCCGCTCATGGGGAAGGGCAGGATATAAATAAATAAAAATAAATAAATTAACTAACTTAATTCTACTCTTCTAGTATTTTTAATACTGTAAAATACAGAAGTATATAATTCACTAAAACTGAACCATACAACTGAAACTACAGCCACTTTTATCCCCTGTACAAAGACATAGAGACAAACTTTTAACCTACCTTAATCATTATAGATTTAACAGACAGATCAGCTTTCTGTGGATCTGTACCTAACTGCATCATTTCGAAGAAGAGGTCACAGGGCTGCAATATCTGGATACAAATAATAATCAATTGATTATAAGTCTGCCTCTTAAGGACATGCTCTGAACATATAGCAAAAATAAGCTAAACATCCTAAGCAGAACAGAAACACATTCTGTATGAATAAAGCTGAACAACAAATGCTGCCTTCCTAAGTAGTAAAATATTTTACATTTGCCTGGATGCAAAGAACATATGAACACATGAAGTTGCCTTTTACTGAATAAGGCCATTAACCTATCAAGGTTAGTGATTTGAAGGCAAAAGCTCTCTCGGATCTCAGGTGGAAGTCTTTCATATTACCTACTACCGGATTATTTTAAATGGAGATGCCAAAGACTGACCCGGGAACTTCTGCATGCCAAACAGATGTTCTTCACTAAGCCACAAGATTCTGTGTGCAATAGGATTCTGTGTGTACAGGTTCCCTGGGTAGATGACTGTGGTACCCCCAGGGACCCCCTCTGTCAGGAAGCCCATTTTTGAGATCAGCCCCCCATGACCTCTCTGCCCTCAAGTTACCTCAGACCCTTCCCTTATTAGCATCTCCCACAAAGAAAATTTCAAACCTTCCAATGACAGCTCAAATCTTATTAAGTTCTCTAATGGGACCACAGATCCTAATAGTCCTCCAGTCACAGGGCAAATTCACAAAACCCAACAGCGAGAGCAAAATGGATCAAAATTTAAGCTAATGACATTTGACCACAACTGTAAATGCCCAGTTATAAGAAAGGTACACCTGGAGCCAGCATATTTTCTTCAGTTTCCAACCCAGACTCTTCCTTCGCCACTTCAAGATGTGACACAAAGTGGTGTATGGTTCAATCCCATCACCAGGACTGCCCCTCCAGTGCTTAATCAGGATATTTCAGCTCCAATCATTCCCATGCCACTTTGGAAATCCAAGACTACATTTGCTTTTCAGAGTCAGCCAATGTATGGACAATTCTATCTTGCTGCTTTATTGTGTTACTTCTTTCCCATAACCTTCTTCCCCAGATTGACCCTCCCTGTTCTGCACATCTACCTTCACCCTCTTCTTATCCATTGGAAGAAAATACCTTGCTCCTTCCACTAACCCCTCCCTTCTCTCTGAGGACATGCTCATAACAACACAAGGGAGGGTTTCCAATTCTGGGACTAGACATGGGAGGAAACATCTAGCATGAAAGGAAATACTTCCACTAGTATTTGCTTTGCTTATATCAATGGCTTATTCCCCAAATGTTTAGTGATTCTGCAATTAATCTAGTTATTTTTAGCACTGTCTATTCCCCAAATGAAGTGCCTTTCAAAATGCCTGTTTTCCTTTCAAAATATCTGTTTTCCTCACTTTGTTATTATCAAAACTGAAAAACAGTTACTGTGTCCCCTGTCTTCTCCCATGACTTCCCAAACATCTATATATCTTATTCCCAACATGCCCCCTCCGTGCAGATATCTAAATCCGCACATCTGGGGCACTTGGGGGGCAGGGAGATTTTCCTGCACATTTGGGGCAATCCCCAGATGTACACAAAAATCTAAAAACTGTAAAAAAATATAGGGTGGATATTTAAATCCCCCAAAATGTAGAAAAGCATTGACTGTGCATGCACAGGGAACGCAGCCTTGCAGTCGTTGCAGGGGGGGCTTGGCGGGCCTGCAGCTGCGCAGGCCTCACTGTCGTTGCTGCCCCCCAATCTCCCAGCAGTCCGCCTTACCAGCTTTCTCACACACGGGAGCGCTTGTACCCTTGCGCGGCAGCCCAGTTTCACGTCTGCATGCCTCTCCCGCTTCCTCAGCCCTGAAGAGGTGCCCCCCCCGTGAGTATCACGGGTCCCTCTTCTTGTAATGTTCTAATTTGCACTCATAAAAACAGACTCAAAGATTCCTTACACCAGGATTAGAGGGGATGCACAAATAAAAGCCATATCCCTCATACCCCTAGTAACAACTGCATCTTGTAATGAAGGCTGCATGAATGGTTCTCAAAGTCAGACTGAAAATGGTACATGCAAAACTTAAGAGTATGCAGATTCTATACAGATCCATGCAATCCACATAAGTACTGTAGAGCAGTGTTTTTTACAGTGAATAGGTATTTTAATTGCATGTGATCATCTTAATTCATCTGATGTTATTCACTCAACCTGCAATCACACAATTATTAACCAAGAGTATATGATAAATACTTCACTAGTAGTGATCATATTACTTTATATGCATTCATATCTATACCAATAGAATGCTGGCCTAAGCATATGTACAAAATATTTAGTCTGAAGTTTTGCAATCTTTCACATACTGCAAGCCTCAGTAATTTCACTCATACTTGCATGATATTATGCAAGATCGCAGTTCTAGATTAAATCTTAGATCTTACCGTAGTAATATTGTCTTTTCTCATTTCTGGAAGAAATGGGCAGGCTTGTATTGTTAAATGTTTTACAGCAGCTGTCATGTTAGACATCTCAGGTCCATTTTTCATGGAGACTTCACACTGTGCTGTAACCACCAGTGCAGGAGCATCACTTCTTGTTAAATCAGCAACAAACACAATCTCAGGATTTTTAACAACAACGTTTATTTCCATCGTAGATGCTGGTTGTACAGGAACTAAAAATATAATGTTTTAAAATCAGCAAGAAATTAACACAATTATTTTTCATTTAATTTGCCACCATCTATACATTTTTCTAGTTTTTGCTTTTTAATTAAAAGTCTGAACAGATATTTTCACAATAACGAAGCAGTTGTGATTATAAGCAGGGAAGAAGCTCTAGCTATAAACTTGAGATTAGAACTCCTGTATCATTTTACATTTGGCAACGTGTGTAAATGTCCTGGATCCAAGTGGTCCAAGGGAGTTCTTCCTCCCATAGGACTGGATCCATTTGATGTGTAAGTTGAAAGGAAAATGTACTTCTTGCAGTTACGCTTGCACAAGCAGTAACACAACAGCTTCAGCAATACATAGCCCTTTAATATAATTTAATGAAATAAAGTCCATATGGAGTAATGAAATGTACAACAGACGGTTCACATGATTTCATTTAATTCAGTTTTGAAACTTATCAGAAGCACGCCCGTAGCCAGGATTTCCTTTTTCAGGGGGCATTTAAATTTATTAGGGGGGCCCAAATTGATAAAATTAAAGCTAATTAAATTAACTTCCCCTTCTCCTCCCCCGGGAAGCCAGGCAGGCAGTAAGGCAAGGTGGTGGAGGAGCATGCCAGTACAATTGCCTGCTCTGAGAGCTGCCAGCCAGCCAAAGCAAACACATTCCCCTCCCCTCCCCACAATGTTCAGCCCAGAATGGACCCAGCGGGGCTGCTGGCAGGCAGGAAAGTCACTTCGAGCAATCCCCACTTGGGGAAGGGGCAGCGGCAGGGGGGGGAGTCCTCCAGGAGGCCCACAGAGTTGGGGACCTGAGCTGGAAGGAAACTCATGGGGGGTTGGCAGGAAGTCATGGGGCCAGGCCCCGAAATGCCCCACTGTAGCTATGGGCCTGATCAGAAGACATACCTCATGCTAAGTCTTGAGCAAGCAGAAGAGACAGTGAGAATACAATCACTTTCACTTAGCACAAGCAAACAGCAAGGAGTAATTTTAGCACTCCCATATGGAAATATTCTGTGGGAGCCAACCCACAGAATACCTACTCCTAGTACTTTGTTATCAGCAGTGATGTCTTCCTTCTTTAGAAAACCCCCTCAAGCCATTTCTGTTTAGAAAATCAATGAAAAGATGTTTCATTGTTTCCTTTTAAGGTGTGGGGGATAAAGAAGGTGTTCTGCTGCTGACTTCATGTACACATGTTTAATGTTGTTTTGGGGTATTTATTATCAGATTATTTTAATTGTGAACTGCATTTGGGTCCCCCTAGGGGACTGAAGGACAGTATACCTGTGACCAGTGTTCCCTCTAAGCTGAGTTAGTGTGAGCTAGCTCACAGGTTTTTAGCCTCTGGCTCACACGTTTTCATCTCTGCTCAGGAAGGATGGCTCCAGAGCAAACTGATTTATTCAGTAGCCAAATCACTTGCTTACAACTTTAATGCCAGTAACTCACAGAGTATAATTTTTGCTCACAAGACTCCACAGTTTAGAGGGAACATTGCCTGTGACCACTATTCTATAGCTATGAATTTGCTCTGTATCAACGTTTGTTTTACATTAGCCAAATCAGAAACCCAGAAAAGATCATCATTACTTTGGAAAAATGATACTTAAATAAATAATAGCATTCAACAAAGCAGGATATTTCCTACCAAGAAAAAATGGCATCACATATATAAGCACATATACTTGAAAACAAAATGGGGGGGATCATTTAACAATATTTTGGGGTAGAACCTATAGACAAATCTTACAGAAGGAGTTATGTGAGAAGAACTTTTCGGAAGATCTGCCAATTCCCTGGCAGCCCTCCTCTGTGTGCCACAAAAAGTGCTAGGGGACCTCATGCACAAAATTCATGACTCCATGAGAGACTGTAGGTAGCAAAAGGAAAACCATAAAAATAATCTCTCCTTCCTCCTGCCAAAGATTCTCAAAGTGTAGTGTAGTGGTTACAGTGCTGAGGCAGGATCTGGGAGACCCAGGTTTCAATCCCCATTCTCCCATGGAAGCGTGCTAGATAACCTTGGGCCAGTCATACCCACTCAGCCTAACGTACCTCACGGGATTATTGTGAGGATAAAATGGAGGAGAGGAGAACAACCTAAATCATACTGGAACCCCACTGGAAAGAAAGGCAGGGTATAAACAAAGCAAATAATAAATAAGATACATTTTAGGGGCTGTTGAGGGAAGGGCAAGGCAGGGAAGATCTGCTCTACCAACTCCTGCAAGCTTTTGTGCAAGATCGAATCCTTTAACATGCATCTTAAATATATGAGCACAAAATACTCCCAGAAAGACTAGCTGGGGAAAAAACACCCTTAGGATAATCCTACCAGAAATAAATAGTCTGATTTAATTTTGGATTGTATGTATTCTATTTATTAGTTTCATCTCTCTTCATGCTTCCTGCCCCCTTACCTCACACTGGCTCTCCTCCCCATCCATCATTGCCATGCCTACTAGAAAAATATTTTTCAAGACTCCCTTTAGAGGTAGAAGTAGTCTCCTCATATTTCATACTTTCTGGATTCTAAAGCACCCAGACTTTTTAGATTCCCAATTATTTATTTAATTACCTATTAAACAAAGCTGGATGAAAACAAAGATACCACAGCCTGAAACATATTTTTGCTATAAACCTGGGGCCCTTTCTCTTATCCATCTGAAATCTGGCAGGCAGGATTCCTTGGCTGGGAGGCAGGATTCCTTAAAATTTCTTGCTAATTAAATAGAAAACACACAGCATATAGTGAGGAAGATCTTCAACCTCAACAGTACCACAGAAACAAATACAGTGAACAACCTGTCTGAAAGATTAAAGTCCTTTTAACATGGCAGATTGCATGGTTTGAAAGTGAATGCCTGTAAAGGCTGATCTTAGGCTGTTGTGATATTAGACAAGTAATGGGCTCTGTTGTGATCCACTTTGAGCCGAACACACACACATACAGTACATGAACAATATAATGTACTGACCTTGTTCCTTCACAGCTAAAGTTTGTTGCTTGAAGTTCCTCTGTGCAGCAGCACTTTCGGCAGTTGCCTTTAGAAACACATCTGCAACAGTTAGTAAAAACTCTATGCTGGCACAGAGGTATGTTTCCTGAACAACTGTGTCAATAATTGTGGTGCCATCTCTTCCCTGCTTATAGCTTATATCCACCATGACTTTCTTTTCCGATCCGTGTTTCATTTCCACCATTCTGCAAAACAATTAGCAAATATATTTTACATTATTTATAGTCTGTCTTTCTCACCGAGACTCAAGGCAGTTTACACAATATAGTGCAATCAATAGGATTATACATCTAATAAGCAATGTAATAGGACTAAGAATTGCAGAATTTTGAAATGGAGTTGTTCTCTGAAGCATAAGTATTAAACATGACAAGTTAACAATGAAGAACATAGTATCATAGCAGCAGAAACACAATTTATTTTCCTAGGCCAATCTGTTATCATATTTCCTTATATTTCCTTATAAAAATGCTCCCCTGAACAATTCTTTTTTACATAGTTTGAGAAGCGAAAGGAATGTGGAAGCCTTCCTGGCCTTCTCAGGTAGGCTGTTCTGCAGGGTAGTGGCCACTATAGAGAAGACATATGTACGGGCAGTTGTTGATCTTGTCCATTTGCAGTGTGGTACCTGCAGGAGACCATGCTGCAATGAGCGAAGCACTCATGGTGGAGCAAAGGGAAGAGGTGGTTCGGTAGATATGAGGGACCTTGATGGGTTTTGTATGTGATACCTTGAACTGAGTTCAATAACTGATGGGCAGTCAAAAGAGTGACAGCAGAATAGGTATAACATGCATACTCTGCCTAGCTTCCAGTTATAACTGTTGCATTCTGCACCAACTGAAGTCTCCAAGTTGATGTTGATGCTGAAGGGAGACCACTGCAGAGTGCATTACAGTACTCTAGTCTTGATGTAACCATGGCATGGATCCAGGTGGCCATATTGGCCAAGTCAAGATAGGGGGTATATCTTCTGGGCTAAATGAAGTTGGAAAAAACTGTTTTTTGCAGCTTCATTAACTTGCTTCTCCAGCAGTAGTGTTGGTCCACTAACACCTAGGCTCTTAACAGAGCCAGCAAGGGTCAGCTGAACCTATCAAAAGTTGGAAGTATGATGTCATTTAAGACTTCAGGCTTCCCACCAAGATTATTTCCATCTTGTCTGGCTTAGTTTGTTCACTTTCAGCCAAAGCAGTCAGGAAATGGTTCTATTTCATCAACATGGGACTTGGATAGAGAGATATAGAAAAACAGGTTGCTTACCTGTAACTGATGATCTTCGAGTGGTCATCTCTGCATTCACACCTCTGGGATATAGTGCGCCTGCGCTGACCCTGATCAGTACTCGTCGAAAGCGAAAGGGATTTTCACACCCATTCCCCTGTCACGCGCCGGGTTCCACTGCACATGACTAGGTAAGGGGCACGACAATCCCGCCAGTTCCTTCTGACTGCTGCCATCAGTCTCAGAGTAAAAATAGAGGACCAAAAGCAGAGGGGAAGGAGGGCGGGTGGTGTGAATGCATAGATGACCACTCGAAGATCATTAGTTACAGGTAAACAACCTGTTTATCTTCTTTGTGGTCTCTGTGCATCACATCTCTGGGAGATTAACAAGCAGCACAAGCTTACCTGAAGGAGGGAGCTGAAGGCCCTAGACTCACGCCGCCTGCAACACAGCCCATCCCACCGCAGATTTCTGGTGAAGATGAACATCCAGGGCGTAGTGCTTCACAAACATGTGAGGAGCAGCCCAGGTCGCTGTGTGACAGAACTCATGGAGGGACGCACCTCTCAGGAAAGCTGTGGATGTAGCTACTGCCCGGGTAGAATGCGCTCGTAGTGGGCCCAGGAGTGGTCTTTTTGCCAATAGGTAGCAGAGCTTGATTGTCTCTACAATCCACTTGGACAAATGTTGGGAAGAGAGCTTGTTTCCCTGTGTGGGTGCAGCATGCGCAACAAACAGGGCTGGGGACTGCCGAAAGGCTCGCGTCCTGTCCAGGTAAAAAAGCAGGGCCCTCTTAACATCTAACGAGTGCAGACGATGCTCGTCCTCGTCCGCAGGGGACAGGACGAACGTTGGAAGAGAGATGTCAGCCCGTAGGTGAAACTCAGACACAGCCTTAGGTAAAAAGGAGACATCTGGTGCCACGGTGACACCATCATGGTGAAAAACCAAATATGGTGAGTCGCAACAGAGTGCAGACAGTTCACTCACTCGCCTTGCAGAGGTGATGGCAACTAGAAAGGCAGTCTTTCAAGAGAGGAGCTGCAGGCTGCAGGTCGCCATAGGCTCGAATGGTTTGCCCATCAGTTTAGACAGTACTAAAAAAAAAAAGTGTAGACAGTACTAATGGCAGATCCCACGAGAACGTGGGACTCCGAGCTAATGGCAAGAGGCGAACGAGGCCCTTCAAAAATTGATTTGTCTGTGGGTGAGAAAAAACAGAATAGCCATCTACCATAGGATGATTGACAGAGATGGCCACTAGGTAAACTCTCAACGAGGTACAACTAAGACCCAAGTCCATACGGGACAACAGGAACCCAAAAATTGTAACCAACTCCGAGGGAGGTGGAGGCAAGTTGAGTGAGTCCAGATAAGCGAGAAACTTCCTCCACTTCCCTACATAGGAAGCACGAGTAGATGGCTTGCAACAGTTCAGCAACACGTGATCTACCCTACTTCGAATCTGAGCTATGGAATCCTCCACGCTTTGAGTTTGAGGTGGGGAACATCGTGATGAAGCACCCACCCACCCTTGAGCCAGGAGGAGATCTGACATCAGCGGGAAGTGTCGAAAGGAGCCCCTGGACAGATGGAGCAGGAGAGGGAACCACTGCTGGCGTGGCCGCCATGGGGTTATGAGTATGCCCCGAGGTCGTTCCCTCATGAGTTTGTTGATCACTCTGATCAGCAGAGGTATAGGTGGGAACAGGTAGATATGTCTGTGAGACCATGGAAACAGGAATCCATCTCCCAGAGACAGGGGATCCCGACCTGCTCTGGAGCAAAACAGACGACACTTGGCATTCTGCTGTGTCACAAAGATGTCCACCTCCGGTTGTCCCCACTTGGTGAAAATCTGCCGGAGGTAAGACCAATTGAGCTCCCACTCATGCAGGGATGCACACACACACACCCCTCAGGAAGTCTGCTTGTATGTTCAGGAGACCTGGAAGGTGAGCAGCGACTCGGAACACACCCCACGACTGGCATTCATTCCAGATTTCCAGTGCCAAGCGACATAAGCTCCTGGAAACCGTCCCGCCCTGACGATTCAGATAACACAGCGCAGTAGTATTGTCGGTTAGGACCGCTACCGAGTGATAGGCTACCTGGTGACAAAAAGACCGGAGGGCATACTGGATGGCCAACAGTTCCAGAAAGTTGATATGTTTGTGTGCCACGTGAGGTTCCCACCGGGCACCTGGGCACACTCCTTGGAGATGCACTCCCCATCCCCAGAGCAATGCATCTGTGGTAAGGGTCAGTTCCGGGCTGGGCGGATGAAATGGAGCTCCCTGGAAGAGGTTTTCTGGGGCTTCCCACCATTCCAGGGAGGTCAGGACTTGCAAAGGGAGCACGAGCCGAAGAGAGTGAGGTTGAAATTGGGGGTGAAAACGCCTCACGAACCACAGTTGGAGAGGTCTCATTCGTAGCCTGGCAAACAGTAGCACCGCTTTTGTAGCTGCCTTCAAACCCAAGAGTCGTTGGATTTGTTTTGCTGATGCCTCCCCTTGTCTCCAAATGAGAGCAATAAGGGTTATCACCCTTATTGTCCACTCTCTTGGGGGTAAGAAATGCTCAACAGGCTACCAAGTCCAGAATTGTCCCGATAAACTGGACCTTCAGTGAGGGAATGAGCATTGATTTCTTTAAGTTCACTTTCAACACCAATCCATCGAGGGTGGATAGTGCCAGATTTATGTGGATGAGCAGGGTTTCTTTGGAATCTGCTATTAATAGCCAATCATCAATGTACGGGAAAACTCACATACCCTGGAGCCAGAGGTATGCCGCAATGACCACCATCATTTTAGTAAAGACCTTGGGCACTGTTGAGAGCCCAAACGGGAGGGCCTTGCATTGGAAATGGTCGTCCCCGACTGCGAAACGCAAAAATTTTCTGTGGGAGGGATGGATGGTTACATGAAAATATGCATCCTGTAAGTCCAGAGTCACCATCCACAGGTTCTTGCCGAGGAGTGGGAGAATGCTGTGTAGTGTTGTCATACAGAATTTCCGGTATGCAATGAAGCAATTGAGATTTCTGAGGTCCATGATAGGGTGGAGGCCTCTGTCCTTCTTTGGCACCGTAAAGTAACGAGAATAAAAACCAGTGCAGTAATGAGGTTTGGGGACAGGTTCTATAGCATCCTTCTGCAGAAGGTTTTGAACCTCTTTCTTGAGCGTACTTGATGGTGGTGTCAGCACAAGATGGGAGCCCTCGAGAAGTTGGATAAATTCAATATCCCTTTTCGATAACAGAAAGTATCCCCTGGTCTGAGGTAACTTGCTGCCATGCAGCCAGATAAGGGGACAGATGAGTGGGAGGAAGATGTCGAGGGCCAAAGTCAAAGACTCTGCTTGGGGGCCTTGGCTGCCTTTGCCCAAGACTGCGTGACTGAAGAGAATTTAGGCTTGTTCCCATAGGAACATGCAGGTAGATTGGGTGATCGTTGCCACTCCTCTTCAGGAGAGGATTTGGCAGAAGATCTGCGCGACCACGAACTACTCCACATCGTGGGTTTAGGGGCTGAAGAAACTCCAACATTACAAAAGGATACTTTTGTCCAGATCTTACAGGACCATATCAGTTGTGGAGCTGAAAAGCCCATCTCCTTCAAAAGGGAGATCCTCCACCAGCGATCTCGTGTCCTGAGGCAGAGCTGTGGACCGTAACTACGCATGTCATCTGAGCGTGACCGCTGAGGTAAGCATCTTAGCTGACACATCTAGGGAATGTTTAGCTGCATAGAGCTGGTGTTTGGCCAGAAGCATACCCTCTTCCTGGATGCTGCGAGCTGGCCGACTGTACTCCTCGGGGAGGGCTGCTAGGAATTCAGACAATTGCTCCAATAGAGCATATTGATACCGCCCCATGCAAGCAGTATAGTTAGATGTCTGGATGACTAAAGCTCCAGCGGAATAAAATTTTCTGCCAAAGGAATCTAGTTACCTT